GGCCCGACGGCCGCGCGCGAGCCCCGGCGGGGAAGGTAGGGCCGGGCCGGCGCCGCCTGCCGAGAAGACCGGGCGGCCGGGCCTGCGTGGGGCCGCGCGCGGTGGCGGCGCCGACTCCCGGGGCCCGGGCCGGACAGCGCAGGGCCATGGCCGAGGCGGCCCCGGCTCCGGTGAGGGCGGCCCGCGCGCGCACGGACGCGCGGCCTCGGGGCCCCGGGGACGGCCTGCGTGTTCCGGGCTCAGCGGCCCGGCCTGGGATCTCGGTAAGGGACAGAAACGCTGCGACGTTGGCGCGGAGTGGGGGGGCGCCCTGGAGGGGCTCGCGCGCCCCTGAACGGGGGTGGGGGAGCGCGGGCCAGGGCCGGGCGGAGGATCCGCCGCCGTCCGTGCGAGGCTGCGCGGACGCCGGCCCCGGCACACACGCGGCCCCGAGGTGGGGCGCCCGGCGGCGCGCTCGCTCCCTGCGGAGCCGGCGCTGCGTCCGTCGGGGTGGCCGCCCGCACGTTTTCCGCAGAGCTCGGCCCCGCCGAACCTCCTCCGGCCCAGGCGCGGCGCTGACGCGGCTCTCCCATTTCGCAGAACAGAGACACTGAGGCACAGACACCTGGCGGCGACGTGCCCTGCCTGCCCCAAGGTCACGTAGCTAGTCATCTGTGGCGCGGTGCCCGCGGCCCCAGAAAGGCCTGTTGTGGGCCTGGACGGGGAGAGGGCGGCCCTGGCGGCGGCCTTCCCTGGGTGAGGGGCCTGGCGGTGAACGTGGCCCGTCGGGGGAGGAGGGGGAGGCCGGGCAGCGCCCAGCCAAGTGTCTCCGCGGTGGGAAGCAGGTGACCCTCCGGGCTCCGGCGTCGGCCTCCAGCCTCTGCGTCTGGAGGGCCGCCGGCCAAACTTTAGGTGTCCTCACAGATGGTGTCTGGGGATCGGGCTTCTAAAGGGTTGGGGGCTGATATGTTCCTCTTAAGTTGGCCATTCTTAAAAATCTGCCTTAAGATCTCCCTGCAAACCTGCTCTTTGAGATGGCCTGGCCGTGCTAGAGAGGATTACTGCGTGGGAGTCAGTGCCTTTGAGCCTCAGTTTCCTATAGTGTACAGGAGGGGGGCGGCAGATTTCGCTTTCTAAAAAGCCACCCAATTTTTTAAATAATAAGTTAATAAGCTATTGGGAAAAATAAAGACATTTTTTACATGACAAGCTCTGGGCTTAGGTCTCCAGAGCCCTTGAGTGGTATGAAATGCTGGGTGAGCCTCACTAGGTCATTCAAGAAAATGGCAAGACTTTCTTACTGTCAGATATGTATGGTTATGTATGTTTCTGCTAATACGGCATGAATCCTGGAGACTCAATTCACTTTTGATACAAAGAGGTGGGAGGGACAGTCAAATCCTATGAAATAGGGCTCAGGGCTCAGAATAATTCTCCCCCAGCCCCCACCAGCAGTGTGAGAATTTGACCTTATTAGTTTTAGATGCCTTTTTTGTTTTGTTTTATTTTTTAAAGACAAGAGTCTGGTTCTCTTGCCCAGACTAGAGTGCAGTGCTCTCAGCCTAGCTCACAGTAACCTCAAACTCCTCGGCTCAATTGATCCTCCTGCCTTGTCCTCCCAGAGTGCTAGGATTATAGGCAAGAACCACAACACCCAGTCTCTTTGGCCATATTTTTATGCTTAGGGTAGGATCAAGCCACAGGTCGACTGAGTCTGATGAAATTATAGCAAAGGGCTTTTATCTGGGGCGTGGGGAAGTGGACGTGCTCCTGTGGCCCCTCTGTAGTCCTCCAAGTCCAGAAATGGAGAGAGAGAGTCTAATACCAGAGAGCAAAGAAATAGTATTTTACTTTGAGCTCGATTTGACTATTTGGTAAAGATGTTCTGCCCTGCTGGCTTTACTTACTATAGTGGCGGGGGTTGTTTTTTTTTTTCCCCTCATTATTTATGTTAAACCCCTGTATTACTCAGGGAGACTAACTTGGCCCCCAGGGATTTTTTTCCCCTTCTTCCTACTAGTTGTAAGCAAATACCCTAATCCCTGTCTGAGGAAAAGGCCATAACGTGCCTGTTGTGTTGCAGGATGCTAGTCACTTTCCCTGTGAGGACGCTCCTTGCCCAGGGCCTTGCCCAGGGCCGTCCAGTCCTGCAGTCACCTGAGTGGAGAGTTCAAAAGTGGCTTAGTTGTTGCTGAGCCTTCAGGTTTTGGGGTCTGTGAACTCCTTGAAAATGTCAGCGAAATTTTGTGTATGTGCCCTTGCGTATTATTTGAGGAAGAGAACCCAAAACTTCCATTAGGTTCTCAAAAGGGTCCCTGACACAACCTGTCTTTAAGGACAGAACCTTCTCCCCACCCTCCCCAACCCCATGAAACCTCCTGCAGATCTTTGTTTAATCTCCAGGCTGCTGAATTTCAGAGGTAAAAAGGATTCAGAGCACATACCTACATGGCCAGTTGCCTCAGTTGACAGTTGAGGCCGGGAGGTGACCTGCAGGCTCTGGAGCCAGACAGCTGTGTGACCTGGGGCAAGTTGCTCTGCCTCCCCTGTCCTAGGTGTCCTCACATGCTGAGTGTGGACAGTAATTCTAGCAGTACCTGTTTCACCTGGTTTGGTGAGGATTAAATGAGATAATCCTTTAAAATGCTTAACACAGTTGATGGCACAAAATAAATGCTGAATAATTGTTAGCTATTCCCAACTAATTAGTTCTCACATCAGGGTAGTGGCAGAGCTATTGGATCATACTACCTCAACATGAATTTGCTGAATAGGATCTTGAATCTTCAATCCTTGGCTTTAAAGTATGATGCTGTCTCAGTTAAGTCACCTATGAGTGAATAAATGAGCAAATAAAGGAAGCTATAGAAGATATGGAATAGGTTTAGGTAAATCTTTGATAGATAACTAAAGGAATTGCATTATTTATCCTTATACATTTTTTTTGTAACTCAGCAATTAACTCTTCATTCAGCAGGCATTTATTGAGCACATACTATATGTCAGACTGGATACCAGGGATATGCTAATTTTCAAATGAAGAAAATGGAAATGTTAATCACTTTAAAGATCATTTCTATACAGAGTATAGTAATCATTGAAGGAAGATTATGAGGAAATGGACAGAAATTGTTACAGAAGAAATTCTGTTCGGTTCCAATAAAGATATCGATTGGGTCGGTAAATACAGAACTGGTCACTTGCAGAAGATCATGGCTTCACCTCCCTGGTGATTCAGGAATTCTCTTGACATGGGTGTGACAAGGTGGAGAACAGGGAGAGAGAGTGGATTATTGAAATCCCCAAAGGAATCTGAGTCTTTATTTTGGTCTAGTCTCCACCAATCTTCGTACAAGTCACAAGACTGGCTGACTCCTGCTCTGCTTGCCATCCTTCCAGGCCTCCTTGCTTCCTCATTCTCCACCTCAGGAACCACAGGGAGGAACCCAGACGGCCTAAGTACACCTACCGCAGTGGACCCCTGCCCAGGAGACCTGAGCTCCTGGAGGATGGCTCAATTGCCTGCCTTCACCCGTCTCATAACAAAAGCTAGTCCAGAATGCCCAGAAGCCCGTTCAGCCTCTGTAGTAGGGACTAGGCACATAGAGGGTGTTTCCCAGTCAAACGTGTACCATACGAACTCTTTGAGAGAGTTTATTGATAAGTCAACAATTCAACTTTTATCAAAGAATAAGAGTCTGGGAAAATTAAGATAATTTTGTGTCGTCACTCTTGGACCAAGTGAGGGAAGGAACACAAGGCACCAGGAGGGCCTAATAACACTAGTGGAAGCACTGGGGCTGGATGACAAGTCCGCCTTCGGGTTAACAGCGCCGGCCCCCACTAGTGATCACCTGCGCGCCCTTGCTGGGAGTCGTGGGATAGTAAGTGCCTGGCATTTACAAAATTCTGCTCCGTCATTTCTCAAAGTTTTATTTTCTGTTCAATGCTCCAGCAACTCAGTGAGGTGGTATGTGTGTGTCAGATAGTACTACCCTCATTTTGTGGACAAGGACACTGAGAATAGAGAGGTCAGATAACCAGACCAGGGTGACACAGGCAGCAGTCAGTACAGACAGGGCTGAAAGTGGGTGTTCTCATTTGAGTCCGGTACCCTTTCCCCTCTCCCACATTACGGCTCCTAAGATGATACCTGAGCAGTGTATGTTGTGAAAAAGGATACGGCTCTGTAAAAAATAGAACGTGGCGTAACCATCTTTTATTTGTAATAGTTTTATAGTTGATGTCTAAGTTGGTGCTGTGGTCTCAAGGAGAGATTCACATCTGAGGAGCATGTTTTATTGCTACCCAAACTGAAGCCCTTTTAATGTGGATACTTTGGGATTTATTTTGCCAGCTGGAGACTGTGACCTTCAATTCTGTCTTTTCCTTTCTTTCCTTAAACACAGGTCCAGCAGCTGGACATGGAGAACCAACGCTCATCACCTCTGTCATTCCCCAATGTTCCACAAGAAGAAACCTTACGTCAGGCCCCTGCTGGAGTCCCCCGAGAAACTCTGTTCCAATCCCGCATTCTTCCCCCCAAAGAAATTCCTTCTTTGTCTCCCACTATTCCCCGACAAGGCTCCCTGCCCCAAACTTCTAGTGCTCCCAAGCAAGAGACTTCTGGCCGGATGTCGCATGTTCTCCAGAAGGGACCCTCACTCCTGTATCCTGCCGCTTCTGAGCAAGAGACTCATCTCCAGGGCCCCCTGGCTTCCCAGGAAGGGACACAGTATCCACCCCCAGCTGCTGCTGAACAAGAAATCTCCCTGCTCTCCCACCCCACCCACCATCAGGAAGCCCCTCTGCACTCCCCTGAAGTTCCTGAGAAAGACCCCCTGACCCTTTCCCCCACAGTTCCTGAGACCGACATGGACCCCCTGCTCCAGAGCCCGGTTTCCCAAAAGGACACCCCCTTCCAGATCTCTTCTGCAGCTCAGAAGGAACAGTCACTCCCCACGGCGGAGATCACCCGCTTGGCCGTGTGGGCTGCCGTCCAAGCGGTGGAGAGGAAACTGGAGGCCCAGGCCATGAGGCTACTGACCCTGGAGGGCAGGACGGGGACAAATGAAAAGAAGATAGCCGACTGCGAGAAGACAGCTGTGGAGTTTGCAAACCATCTGGAGAGCAAGTGGGTCGTGCTGGGGACCCTGCTGCAGGAGTACGGGCTGCTGCAGAGGCGGCTGGAGAACATGGAGAACCTGCTGAAAAACAGAAATTTCTGGATCCTGCGGCTGCCCCCGGGCAACAATGGAGAAGTTCCCAAGGTAAACCTATCCCAACTGGGATCCCCGAGGAAGTGATCTGACTGGGAATGTGGTTGAGGAATTTAGGGAACGCAGCGGCTGAGAAAGAAAAAAATCTAGTGATCCCTAGTTGCCAATGCTGCTTCCCTAAGAACAGGATGTGCCAAAATCAAATTATTTCTCATGTTGTTAAAAGCATAGGTTAATGTAGAAATGTCCCAAGACCAGGGATTGTCAGTTAGAAGGGTGTTCAGCAGAGTTGTCCATCGTGTCTGCAGGTGAGAAGGCAAAGCAGAGGCCAGATGAGAGAGCTATGTGACAGTCAGTCCCTGGTACATATTGTGAGTGGTTCATAGCCAGGGTAGATGGAGGGGAACTCAGGTGACAGGTCACAGGGACCTGTCCTGCTCAAATCAGTTCACTTACAAATCATGTTAATGCCAGGAAAACAGTGATTTCAAGAGGCTTCCTAAAAAACACCTAGAGAACAGTTAGGTTTTCATATTGTTTTCCAGAAGGTTCTAGAAGAGCTTGAATGTGGACTGGCTTGCTTTCGATTTTTCTGTGCTGCTGCCCTTTTTCACAGCTTTATATGGAGAGAAAACTGACTATATTCTCTAGGCCAGCATTTCTCAAATACTACTATGCACATGAATCCCCTGGGGATCTTACTAAATGCGGGCTCTGATTTAGTAGGTCTGCGGTGGGGCCTGGGAGTCTGCATGTCCAGCAGGAGCCCCGGTGGTGCCATTCTTGCTGGTCTGCAGCCCGTGCTTCAGAGCTGCAGGAATTATCCTGTGGGAGAAGAAGGAGCAGGCAAGACGAGTCCCTCAGTCTCTGGGCCAGGACATGGTGGCCAAGGCCTGGCCAGACTTCTAGAGAGGTCCTAGTGGAGCCCCAGATCATGGGTTCAGGCCAACGCCAGGGGTTTGGGCCTGGGGAGTTGACAGCTATGGCCTGTGACTGCCTTCCAGCTGGTCTAAATCGAGCTGCTTGTGTGGTTTCAGGTCCCTGTCACGTTCGATGATGTTGCCGTCCACTTCTCCGAGCAGGAGTGGGGAAACCTGTCCGAGTGGCAGAAGGAGCTCTACAAGAACGTGATGAGGGGCAACTATGAGTCTCTGGTTTCCATGGGTAAGGAGAAGGCTGCACTCACCAGGGGCTGCCTTGACGTCAGCTTGAAGTGCATTTGCAACTTTGGGGAGTTCTGAACCCCAGTAGAGCCAATAGTCAAAAGCAAGGAAAACAATTTTAGAGAGCACATCATGCTCATATGCCCACATATACCAGCACAGCACAGGCCCGAACAGCTTGTAAACAGACACTGCTCTACGGAGAAGCTTCTGGGGCAAGCAGGAGAAGATAGGCCTAGACATTATGGCCTCTCAGCCTCATAGTATTTTCCCTATGGACACCTTTTATTTAATAAATTAGCTTTTCCAGGAGACTATTACTAAGGAAGGAAAAAATAATGGAAGAAAACAAATGTGCTGAATGCCTACTGTGTGCCAGCAATGTTCGAGGTGCTTTACAGGAATCACCTCACTGAATCCTCACAGCTCTGTCAGGGAGCTAGGACAGTGTTGGCGCTCCTGACCGATTATTCAGGAGTCTGGACACTGTCATTTATTGAGGGCTTACATACCCCAGATCCTAGCCCCCAAGGTGCAGACATGGAGGCCGTGATCAGGGAAGTTAAATGCTCACCCTAGGTCCCCGCCAGGAGATCACAGTTTCACTGAGATCTGTCTTACCCCAAAGTCTATGGATTCTTGTTTTCACTAAGAATATTTAAGGATGAAAACCTGGAAAAATATACTGTACTTTTATATACATCCTCTTCTCTGGTGTGGAAAACACTTTGGCATATACAAAAAAAGTTTTAAAAAACATTAAATGTGCTGCTACATAGAAACTTTTGATTCTTGCTAGAATTGTTAATTTTGTACATACCTTTCCGTAGGATAACTTCCTCCCCCTTTTTAAATTTTTTTCTTTTTAAAATATATACATAATTATGAAATTCAACAGTTTAGATTTATATAATTAAGAGAAACCCCCACCTATGCACTGATGCCACTCTCCAGAGGTAACTGCCGGGAACCCTCTGGCCTGGGTTCTTACTCTTTTTTTTTTTTTTTTTTTTTGCATTTGCAAACATAAGCACGATGCATGCACTGGCACACGTGCAGTTTGGGGTTTGCACAGATGGGCCCATTTGTTTATTTTACCTAATGGTGGGGCACAAGACAGCATTCAATGTCAGCTTACATAGGCCTCCCTGGAAAGACAGTACAGTATTCCAGGTGAACCACCAGGATTTTGACCTTCCTACTGTTGATGAACAGTAAGTTGATTCTGGGTTTTTTTCAGTGTTACAAAGTGTTGACTGGCATCTCTGTGTATGGTGCACTTATGTGAGTGTTTCAATAGTACTGATACCAAGGAATAGGATTGCTGAGTAAAAAGGATACACATTTACAATTTCATGGCTACTGCCCTGTGCCCTACAGAAGGCTGAGCTAGTTTATATTTCTGCAGCAGTGTATGAAAATGCCATTTCTCCATATCCTGACCAGAGCTGATGTTTTTCTTTTTTTTTTTTTTTCACTGTGTTGCCTGGGCTAGAGTGCCATGGCGTCAGCTTAGCTCACAGCAACCTCACACTCCTGGGTTCAAGCGATCCTCCTGCCTCAGCCTCCCGAGTAGCTGGGACTACAGGCATGTGCCACCATGCCTGGCTAATTTTTTTTTTTCTATATATTTTTAGTTGTCCGATTAATTTCTTTCTATTTTTAGTAGAGACAGGGTCTCGCTCTTGCTCAGGCTGGTTTCAAACTCCTGAGCTCAAGCAATCCGCCTGCCTCGGCCTCCCAGAGAGCTAGGATTACAGGCGTGAGCCACCACGCCCGGCCTAGAGCTGATGTTTTTCTATTTTAAAATTTGTCCTTTAAGTGAAAAATGATACCTCATTATTTTAATATGTATTCTTTGATGATTACTGAACTTGTGCATCTTTTTATATATTTACTGGCCATTTGTATTTCTTCAGTGAATTACCTATTTATAGCTTTGCTTTTGATATTTTTTTACTAATTGTAGAAGTTCTTTATATATAATTATGGATATTAACCCTTTTCCACATATATATATCTATATATATGAGAGACATATGTGTATGTATAATATTCCCTCCAAGTTTCTTCATCTTTTAACTTTATTTATAAAGAACTTTAAACTTATTTTATGTAAGGAAATCTATCAGTATTTTACAGCTTTTAGATTTTATCAGGATTAGTTTTTTACTTTATAAAATTTCTAATATCTTGTGCCTTTATCATGAAAAACCTGGGCAGGCTTCGGCCACCTGTGGGCAACTCCCACAACACACACACACACAGCAGGCCCCAACAAAAAGGGGCGGACACTTGGCCGTTTGTTTTCCAGCATTGCTGGTCCCCAGTGGAGGAGCTGTTCTGGTATCACACACCCACAGATGGTACTTAACAGCATCCAGTACAACCTCACCCTATAGTGTATTTCTTTTCCTTTCTTCTGCCCAGACTATGCAATTTCCAAACCAGACCTCATGTCACAGATGGAGCGCGGGGAGAGGCCGGCCATGCAGGAACAGGAAGACTCTGAGGAGGGCGAGACGCCCACAGATCCCAGTGCAGGTAAGTGGCTAACCGGTGGCCCAGAGCTCTGCATTCTAGATCTTTCAGTACTCAGGAGGCCCCAGCATGGGGCATCACAATCCAAGGTAGACCCTGAAGGAGTATGTTAGCAAGCCGTGTACAGAAAGAAGGCCTACAGGCGTTGGGACCTGCTCGGGGCCTCCATGGTCACCAGTGGCCCAAGTTGTTGGTAAATGGAAATGCCATTGGGTTCGCTGTCTTGGGGATTTTTTGACATGACCAAGTGTCACCTCACTCTTTGCAGAAAATAAAGCAAGAAACTCAAAGAAAGGCAGTCACGTGCCAGGCAGTCACTAGTGCTTATACCTCCTGGAGTTTCCCAGAGAAGGGCCACATCCCTGAGTCCTGCAGCTGGTCAGTGGGAAGGATAAGGGACAGACGTGGACTTCACTGGAAACATCCTACATGCGTGACTCCATCAGGATAGTGTCCAGGCGAGGCAGTTAGATGGAGTCAGCAGATACGCTCCAGGCATGACTAACAAAGAGCGCAGACTCCGGTGTTGGACTACCTGCATGTGAATCCAGCTTTTCTGCTTACCAGTGGCGTGATTTTAGTTGCTTGATCTTTTTAGAGTCTCAGTTTCCTCATCTATAAAATAGGACCAGCATGAGTATTTAACCCTAGGCCTTGGCGTGGTTATTGGCATGTAGCCGTGGCTCAGTGAAGACCAGCTGCTGTTGGTGTGCACGGGTGTCATCCTGTTCACAGCGGCCGGATCAGTGGCCTGCACACTGACCCTGCAGGTGCTTCCGTGGCACATAGTTAGTTTTTGGAGCCCCTGCTGTGGAATCGCTGTTGGACTCGCATCACTTACCTTGATGGTCTTCAGTGGAAGCAGATCCTTGTCCCTTGTGGCACACGTGACATGTGAGAGTAGCCGAACATCATGGGTGGTCGTGTCTGTTGAAAAAGGAGGATGGTCCAGCTGGAGAACCCAGTTTGGGGCCAACAGCCAGGTCTTGTTATGAGTTGATGTCATTGATTTGGGGACCTATAAACTGGCTCCGAGGAGATGTTCGAGGAGCATTGAGTGACGTCAGCCCCATGCACTAAGTGGGAACGTAGCTGAGGGGAAAGATGGAACCCTGTGAAAATGCAAGTGCTGGCATGTCCCAGAGAAATCCAGTGTCTTCACTTTCTAAGGATTTGCCTAGAGATTTAAATCAAGGGAAAGGGCTAATCCTGAATTCATTCTGGCAGACAAAAAAGATGAATTTAAAAGCAAACAAGTGTGGCACATAGCAGGGTGATCTTTTGGTTGGAGGAAAATCAGTCTGTACCTCAAAGATTTGAGTGGCCACATCCAGAAAGAAGGGTCAAATGGGAATAGAGAGATTCGTGGTGGAAGAAATAAGAAAGGCTTGGGAGGCAAAGAATGAGAATTTAGGAGAGGTTATTGTGGTAAAAATCCTGCAATACAGTCTGATGTCCCAGTGGGGCTTTGTGGTTCAGGTGCTGCTCTTGTAGCATTTTCTTAGAAGGGCTGGATGAAAGAGCATCGATCCCCTTTCTCTGTCTACTTTTCACATCCTCATCACAGATGGGCCTCCCACAGAATGTGGCCAGAATTGGAAAGCAAATAACCCCAGTCTACTCAGCCTTGGGCTGGATCTGTTCTGGCGCACACACATCCATGGCCTGAGCTCCTGCTGGGAAGTGGTGGCCTTACAGAGGCTTCCTTGTATGACCGAAATGTGTTATTTGTTCCACTCACCATCAAGCCCCTTGGAGCCTACAGTGGGAGGGAGGACGGGGAGGATGTAGGAGCCATCACTCCGCAGAACAGACCTTCAGCTCACACCTCTGACCTAGACCAACGGCCCTGACCTTGCCATAGCAGGATGGTTCTGTGGAACTGCAGATATCAGAGCCCCAAACACACCAGTGGGTAACCTGTCTATTCATGCATCTTCTCTCTTAGCCAGATGGTAGCAAAGCCAGCCCTGGGCCAGACCCAAAGGTATGACACCAGGGACAAAAAGTCTAGAAAATTGGGACTTCTCATACTTCCACATATCCCAAACATGACAATTTTATGAATTGACTAAGTAAATTCATTCAATAAAGTATCATTTAATGGTTTAGTTTCCAAGGGCAAAGAGATCTAAAGACGATTCAATTATCAACCCTGCTATCAAAATACTCGGAATAGGGGCTCCCATTCGTGGCCCTATAAGGGTAGCCCCGGAGGCCTGGAGAAGGCAGGTGCCATCTTCACCTAACAAATTAGCAAAGGATGAGACCAGTCAGAAGGCGTGGCTAAAGTCCATGTGCTCATACATTGCTGCTCAGAGTGTGTATAGTTTAGTCTTTTGAGAAAGCAATCTGATGCTGTCTAGTCTTAAAATATATCTTAAATACTTAAAATGTTCATACATTTGACATCATAATTTTCTTTCTGAGAATCTATGGCATGAAAAAGAATCCAAAATATGGATTAAGATGTACCAATATATTAATACATCACATTACAATAGATTGTCATACAGCCACTAAAATTATATTTATATAAAGATTTTTGATACTGTAAGTTTCACTTGGATGTTTATTATTTAGTTCATCAAATATTTTTTGTACCAGGTACTGTGTCAGGAACTATGTACCCCAGAGGTCCTTGTCCTCAGATTTAACTCCAGTAGGGAGACTGATGTTAAAGACCCAAACACGCCACCCACCTCCATAAAAGCACAGTCACTAGCTGTGACAGAGCTGAGACAAAAAGCATCCAGACCACCAGACACCATGGGAGATGCCCTTGAATTTGGGAGGTCAGAAAAGGCCTCTTTGAGGACATGGAATTTCTAGTGGAAACCTAAAGAAAAAGTCGTATTCCAGCTGCTCCAAGGAGAAGTAATTGAAGGGAAGAAAGTCTGGAAGCTAGGAGAACAGTTGGAGGTTCTTTTTGCCTTCTAGGTAGGAGACCTTGGCATAGCCAAGGAGAGAAGTGGCTGTTTGCAGGACATATGTTGGCGGTATGAGAAAGGACTTAGTGATTGCTGGATGCTGAATAGGAGGGAGCGGGGGGTGCCAAGGGTAACTCCCAGGCTCTGGCTTAAATAACAGGGTTGATGGCAGACAACATGAGGTTCAGATTGGTAAAAATAAGGAGAATTCGATTTTGAACACATTAGGTTTGAGATCCCTGTGAGACATCAAAGAGAAAGTGTTAAGGAAGCAGCTGAATAAAGGAATGTGGAATTCAGAAAGAGAAGTCTGAGCTAGAGACATCGGCATTGGGCCATTGGGACGTTTGGGCGTTGGCAGCATAGACTGAATTAGGTTACTAGTCTGTAGAGGGAAAGGAGAGGAGAGGAGAACACAAGCCATGCCCTGCAGAGCCCTGACTTTGGGGGCAGATTTAGAGGTTTAGAATATATTGTTTGGAGTGGGGCCCAGGTGTAAGTATTTTTTAAAAAGCTTCCACGGTGATTCTCAGGTGCACCCAGGGTTGGAAACCACTGTTGTAGGATGTTGGAAAAGAAGGAGGAACCAGAGGAATCAAAGGAAACCGAAAGAGTGGCCAAGAAGGTAGCAGGAAAATTAGGATGGTGCTTCATTGAGTATTTCAAGAGAAGAATGTTTCCAGAAGGAGGGAGTATGGTCAACAATGCTGAATCCTGCTGTGTAGTTTAGTAACGTGGAGACTGGAAAGTGTCGTTGGGTTTGCAAATTGAGAAATGTTGGTGGCATGGTGGAGATGGAGCCAGATAATCAGGGGGTGAGGAAGTAGGGACAGCATCTGTTGACAGTCTGTGCTAGAAGTTTGGCTGTGAGGGGGAGTGGAAATATTGGGGGGCGGGTCTTGTTTGCTTAAGTGGGGATTGCTAAAGCCTGTCGGAAATGTTGGTGGGTATCGTCCAATTGACAGGGGAGATTAATGACGTACAAATGGAAATGTAAATATAATATGAAGCCAATGATGCAAACAAAAAGATAGAAAAAACTGGTCATGGAAACACACCAAAATCATATTCTCTATGTTTTATAAAATTTTCTGGCGTGAACATATATTATTTCTTATTCAGGAAAAATATTTTTTTAAAAAACAGTGCGTGATGAAAGACTTCAAGTTAAAGATGGCAGATTGAACATGTGTTTATTCCTACCTCCCCAAATCCTTCTAAAACAAGAATGAAGGGACTATTTAAAAGAATGGGCAGAGGGGAGCAGTGACAAAGTTTGGGAATCCTAAAAGCAGGTGGATGGGTGATGACTAATGCAGAAAGCTGAACCTGAAATTGGTATTGGGAAAGCTGAGAAGAAACCCAGTTTGTACCTGAACCCTGCTCAGGACTCAGGAGTTAGTACCAGAGACTCTAGGCTGGAAATGCAAGTAAAAATGAGACTAAAAACAGAGGGTTGGTTGAACATCTCTTAAAGAAGCAATTTAACACTCCCTTTTTTCCCCATTACCCACCCCCAGTCCCTACTGCTGGCATTTGGCCCCTCCCCAGCCCTGCTCCGTGACCAAGGCTTATTCTCTGCAGAGGATAAAAAGAGGATCTCTAGACATGGACACGAGGCACAACCGAGGGTGTAGTACCGTACTGAAAACAGGGAGATAAGCAAGACTTGACATTGCAGATGTTGACATCTATAGCTTTCTTCCCTAAACTGACTCCCAAAATGATGCTGATATCTAAGATTAAACCCTTGGGGCAGGATATTAGAAGTCTTACCTGGAGATTTGTGGGAGCAGCCCAGGAGGTTGCCTAGTAAAATCACCTGTCTGAAGCATCCTACTGGGAGACTCACAGTTAGCAAGCCCCACCCAAATGCAGTGAGCTCTCAGTTCTTTTTTGAGTGTTCCGCTTTTAAGTCTACATGGACAACCAAGAACCACAAGACATTTGGGAAAAACCTCTCATGTACAGAGACAAATAAGTAAAGAAATAAAACCAGAAAAAATATATTTAGAGGAACAAAAACCATGCAGAGAGGGAAAAAAGTATGTATAGACACTCAGACATAACATC